TATAAATATGAGGCACCCTAATGTACATAACTAAATAGTACATCAATCAACATTCCAGGCAGTGTCGCTAGCTATCTTTGGGGCCCTCTCCAATATCGCTGAAAAACCTCAGATTTTTTATAAAATTCGCCGCTCAAAATTGGTTCCAAAATAAATTTAGGTATATATATTACTTTCTTCTTCTTCTTCTATGCACAACAACGATGCATGCCGGAATCACCAGTAGTCGAGAGCTCCCAGCCAAAACGGCGATAAATTCCAGCGAGGTAGGCGCATTCGGAGGAGTGGATGTTCATGGATTTGGTCCCCTCGATCAATTTGGCCATGGTTAGGAAAAATCCTGAACGCAGCAGAAAAGTCTCAAATATTGCAATCCAAATCTTCTGGAGGGTTATTAGGAAGGTTATAAGGCTCCAGAGGACCGAGGAACGCTATCCTCAAGCTCTGAGTCCCTTGGTCCTATTGCCGATATCAAAATAGTTATTAACTATGGACTTAAAATGGCAGCACTCAAAGTTTTTGTACGCATGGTCAGAGGGGTAGGCCTTTCGCCACCGGAGGCGTCGATAAAAAGTCCATATATTTTTTTTTACAACAACTACAACAGATAAAATTAGCGGGAAAGAAATCCTTATGAGCGTGGAGGTGGACTCGCCCTGTTGTTGTTGTAACGGCATTACTAAGCCCCGCCTATCTCGGTTCACCCTTCAATAATTGTCGACAAGCTCAACTAACGGTAGGCCCAGGAAACGGGCTGTTTCAATAGGGTCGGACCAAAGGGAGAAGGCTGTTAGCTGAGTGGGATTAAGCTGGCATGTGAAAAAGTGTCCGGGGTCATACGGGGAGTCTCCACATGCCGGACACTCATTGGGGATATTGGGGCCGAGTCTGGACAGGTAGCTGTTTTTTTTCTAATATCCAGCTCGTAACTGGGCCAGGGTAACGCGGGTCTCTCTAAGCAGTTGAAGCTCCGTCTCTGCCACAGGTGGTGATTGGAGCTCCGATCACGGCATTCATAGGCCGGGAGTCGTGGTAGGCGGTGACCGACTCTCTATGAATATCGTTAATCCCTCGTCGGTACGTCGTCGGGTCAGTGGGTTTGTGTGGACCGCGTCCTTATATGAATAGGTGGCCTCCCACGTGCCTGGGCGGAGGCTCCTCCTCTAGGAAGGGTCTATTGCACCCCACCAGAAACTGCTAACAGAGAATCCCCTTACGGGGAGCATTTGCACCTCGCTGTGTAGGTGGTTCTCAGGCAACAGCCGGTTCTACGTACCGGAATGACTCGGCTTTTACCCGGCCAAGGGCTGTTGTTTCGGCGAGATGCGGTTAAGGGGAGAAAACCTCAGCTTCACAAATTGGATTTAAGCTTAAGTTCGTTTTTATACCTAACGTAATGACAAACATATCTGTGCTAGTTAAATAAAAGCGTACCCCAAAAACTCATATATAGCAAAAGACAACAGAACAAAACTGATCCCGAAAAACTTTGAGTACCACTGAAAATTTGTCATAATACGGTTCAATTTCATTGGCCTGCAATTTGGAGTTATTTTCTAGAATATTTGCAGAGTTCAGAAGGGAAAATTGCTTCTTTAGAGCTCCATAAAGAGCTCATTTAGAAGGAAAAAAGTTCTTAAATGTGAGTTCTTAAATATAGAGATTTTTAGGGTATTTTTTGGTATGCCTTATGCATAGGCCCATTTTCTGCTGACTCACGTTATCTTGTTGCTTTTGTTTGCTTTTTGTTATAGTTGCTCTTGGTGACTGGAAAGCACACCGATACGTGCAGATCAACAACAAATTGAGTGGTTTACATCGTCTTAAATAAGTACCCAATTGGGGATTTTTCTTATACATATGTACATATCAGACATCTGCAGCGGGTGCATGATTTTCGTGTATACTCGATCATCTAACAAAACCCGCTTTGCATCGTTCTCTGTATACGAGCAGAAGTATTGTTCGTTATCGACTGAGCTCAAGACGAACATGTTGGCCACAACACCCGATTGCTTTTCATACATACTTGATTGGGTTCGGGTGCTTTGCAGCTCAATATACCCGGGTGTTCGAGTTTCAACCCGAGTGTGCACAAAATTTTCTTGATTGGCTTATGACGTTTTTGTTTCTACAAAAAATGTTGCCTTCTCATCGCGGTGCTCTTAGTTTTTGTGCGTAAAGGGTAAAGAGAAGGTTGAATTTTTCGGTAGTTTGTTTAAGTGTACATTTAACCATTTCTTATATTTTTGCTCATACAAAACGCGGCATCACGACGCCTACATCCATTTAGGTATAAATGTGTGTAGATCGGCAATGCCCAAGCCCTATACACTCGAAGCACATTTATTTTTTGTAAAAGTATTTATGTACCTACATAGATTTAGGCTGTGTTCTAATATATACACACACAGCTTTCCACGCGAAACTATACGAAATAGATGCAAACACATTTTTGTCTACTTCGCTTCTAATTTTTTCATTGCGTATGCACAAGCACAAAGCAACAACATTTTCGTATGCTTTGTGGGAACATATTGGCGCCAGTTACCTTCAGCGTAAATTTCTTTGTTGTCCTGCATTTTATCGCAATGTTCGGGTGTCCGTTTCATTGTTACACAAATTTTCGGGTTGGCTGCGGGTGTCCGAGTGTGGTGTTCGCTTGTGCTCAATTTATAGCGAGGGTGATCGAACAGACCAAAGCAGCTGTCGGGTATGCATCTCGATCGAACACATAGTAGCCGAGTGTGGCGTTCGCTTGTGCTTGATTTTTAGTGAGTGTGATCAAAAAGGCTCGATCATACTCAAAGCTGTTCTCTGGTACATATATGTATGTATATCTACAACTACAACTTAGGCACGCATAAATATTCCCCTTAAGAGAAGAAGAAAGTTTACGATATAAAAGAAGGCAGCGAATGCAATTGCAGAAACAGTTGAAGAAAAATCAGCAAAGGTAGAACTTCAAAAATTAAACAATTCATCTAATTTATAAGAATAATTAAATACTTTCGCTTAAAAATGGATATTAATGGTGTCAGCTCGCCCAATCAAATTGGTGGAAATGATATTCGTGTGCAGGCATCCAAAACATTCGGTGACGAAAAGGCCAATGCGACAGTAGGCGCCTTTGCTGCCGGCAGCACTTTGGGCGGCTCAGTGGTGACGGGCACTTTTGCGCAGGCAAGTGCGTAAGTGATAAAACAAAAAATATTGTATTTAATACTCAGTGTAAGAACTTATATATTTTGCATAATAGCAACGGCCATGGCTTATCGGTACAACGCGCGCATACGCCCGGCATTGGCAGCACCTTATCTGCTGGTGCTCATGCCAATCTCTTCAAGAATGATACGCATGCCGTCAGCGCTACTGCTATGCACTCTCGAACACAATTGCAAAATGATTTGAAATTCGATCGTTCCAGCATCGGTGTGGGCTATAATCACGCACAGGGTCATGCCGCCGCAGTGACCGCTTCTCGGATACCACAATTCAATATGAC